AATCTATAGATTCAATGCAATCCCCATCAAAATACCAACGACATAGTTCACAGAACTAGAACAAATACTTCAAAAGTTCATATGGAACCAAAAAAGACCCCGAATAGCCACAGCAATTTTGAAAAAGAAGGACAAAGTAGGTGGGATCACAATACCAGATTTCAGGTTATACTACAAAGCCACTGTAATCAAAACAGCTTGGTACTGGCACAAGAACAGTCATATAGACCAGTGGAACAGAACAGAGAACCCAGAAATGGACCCAAGGGAATATGCTCAATTAATATTTGACACACTTGGCAAGAGCATACAGTGGAGTAAAGACAGTTTCTTTAATAAATGGTGTTGGGAAAATTGGACAGCAACATGCAAAAAAATGAAACTAGACCATCAACTTACACCATACACAAAAATAAACTCAAAATGGATAAAACACTTAAATGTGACTCATGAATCCATAAAAATTGTAGGAGAAAATGTAGGCAACAAAATTTCGGACATCATACGCAATAGAATTTTCACTGATACATCACCTAAGGCAACAAAAACAAAGGAGAAAATGAACACATGGGACTACATCAAACTCAAAAGCTTCTGCACAGCAATAGAAACAACCATCAAAATGGAAAGGCAACCCACTGTATGGGAGAACATCATTGCCAATGATACATCAGATAAGAGTTTAATTTCCAAAATATATAGACTACTCATAGAACTCAACAAAAGGAATACAAAGAACCCAATTAAAAAATGGGATGAGGAGCTAAATAGACACCTCTCCAAAGAGGACATACATATGGCCAAGAGACATATGAAGAAATGCTCAACATCACTAATCATCAGACAGATGCAAATTAAAACAACAATGTTGTTGTCAGATTGGCTGCCTTTAACAAATCATCAAACAAATGTTGGCAAGGGTGTGTAGAAAAGGGGACTCTAGTGCACTGCTGGTGGGAATGCAGCCTGGTGCAGCCACTATGGAAAGCAATATGGTGTTACCTCAAAAAATTAAAAATTGAACTTCCATTTGACCCAGTGATCCCACTTCTAGGAATATACCCTAAGAAGCCTGAAACACCAATCAGAAAGAATATATGTTCCCCCAAGTTCATAGCAGCACTATTTACAATAGCTAAGATCTGGAAACATCCCAGGTGTCCATCAGTAGACGAACGGATAAAAAAGCAGTGGTACGTATACACAATGGAGTACTATGCAGCTGTAAGAAAGAAAGATCTCTTTTCCTTTAGGACGACATGGATGGACCTAGAAAGTATTATCCTAAGCGAAACAAGCCAATCAGAAAAAGACAAATACCACATGATCTCACTTATATATGGAATATAATGAATATAACAGTCTGAGGAATAGGGTAGACCCAGAAACACAGAAGTAGGGTACATACTGATAACCCTCAGAAGAGGGGGTGGTGGGGAGTGGGAAGAGATAAAACACAGAACTTATATGCGTGTACGCATAACCAATGGACATGGACAACAAAGCCGGGGATGGGGTGGGGGGGATGGGGATGAGGGTGTCAATGCGGTAAAATAGGAGAAACATCTGTAACAAAAATAAAATTTTTAAAAATAAATAAGTAAAATAAAAATATTTTAAAAACTAAAAAAAAAAAGGAAATCACTTGCATTGCTTAATAATAACAATGTACATGGGTTTGTGTATAAAACGCTATAAGCATTAGGTACACTGAGGCCCACCAATAGATGAGCTAGAGTGAAGCTGGTGGTAAGTTCACATGCACAATGGCCATTTAAAATAGTCTACCTTTAAGAAAATAATAGTCAGTCTCCTAGTGGTGTGCTTTGGGGATGAGGAAAGTATTATCCTTTGGTAGGGTTTATCCCTTTTCTTTGAGTTCCTAGGACCTTAATACATTTTAATACATCTGTCTGTTTTTGTAAAAATTAAATAAGATGGGAGAATCCTCGTTCTTAAACATAGTATAAAAATTAAATGTAGCTCTGATATATCTCCAGTGTAGACAATTCCACCATGAAACTGAAACTCTAACTTTAAATATGTTGTTAGATCAGCCATTTCAAATTGTGCTCCCTGGAACACACTTAGCTGGGAATAGGGCGGCGGGGTTTGTGGAACTGAGTGGTGTTCCCCAATCCTACGGCAAATGGAGCAGAATCTGGTTTCATCTTTTTCTTCTGAATAACATTTAGAATTCCACAGAAGCTTTTAGAAAGTTTAAAAGTCACAAGTGTGCATTATTTCAGAAAATACCAAGTATAATAACATTTTCCTGGACAGTAAAATAGTTTAGGCTTTGTAAGAATGTACAGAATCGTCTAGTAGCACACAGTATTTTTTAAATAAATCAACAGAGATGGCTCCATTTGCCTTTACCTACTTGTTATATAGTCTAAGTAGTTTAGATTCATTGACCATAGAAAATGAAACCACAGTACTGTGTTCACATCTGAAAAATCTTCTCAAAATCAACATGGCCTGAATGAAAGAAAGGGCTAGAGGAAAACAAATAAGTTTTACCCTTCTACTTAATGGGTAAAGGGCAAATATTTAGCTTCTGCATTTATGATAGAGATGGAAAGAAAGAGGAGCCAACATTAATCAGCACCTGTTACTTGGTAGGCACTTTTATAAGAAAGTATCATCATAACACTTTATATTATTCCATCATGGCTAGATATTATTAATTTCAATTCAGAAATGAAGAGACTACTGTACAATGCAGAAAAGCAAAAAACAGCCCTGGCCGGTTTGGCTCAGCGGTTAGAGCATCAGCCTGCGGTCTACAGAGACCCAGGTTCGGTTCCCGCTAAGGGCATGCACCTTGGCTGCAGTTTGTCCCCGGCCCTGGTTGGGTCGTGTGGGTGGCGGCCACTCGATGTGTCCCTTTCACATCGATGTTTCTCTCTCTTCCTCTCTCTCCTTCCCGCTCTATCTGAGTAAAAACTGGAAAAATGTCCTCGGGTGAGGATTAAAAAAAAAGGAAAAGCAAAAAACAACTTGACCAAGATCATACGATGCAGTGCCTCCACGACAGAAGCAGGATCAAAGTCTGTTTTGCCCAGCTGGCATTTATTGAGCAGTTACTAAGTGCAATGAATATATTAGGAGTTTCACATGTGTTAATTTTCACAACATTTGCAGTAGAAGCTAATATTACCTCTATTTTACAAATGCTAAAACTGAGGTCACACATTTAGTACGTGGTAAAACTGATATTCATACTCAGATCCATTTGTTATTGAAGTCTATGCTCTTAACTACTAAATTTTCCTTGTGATATTCTGTATAGCTTCCAGTTCAACAGACAAAACTTTATAACCATGTACCTAACATACCTTAAGTCAGCTTCTAATTAATTATCTGTTCTAACAATAAAAGTGCCTGGGATGATATTCTCAAAAACTTTTGTGTTTGGTTTAATAATTTGTTTCATATTCACATTTCAAAATATGAATGAGATGTTGTGGGGGCCCAATTAAAGTACAAGAAAAATAACAATGCTATTCTGAATATTAAAGCAAGAAATAGTTAGCAATATAGTAAGTATCTTGCTAATTTGGTTCCCCTACTTAAAGTCATTTTTTTTTTTCTATTCTAAGATAAAGAGAGATCTCATTTCTTCTTATATTTAAATAAAACACCAAGCTCAACTGAGCTATTTTCTCCCCTCCCTATCCTTTTTTGTTTTTCTTGCTAAGTCATAAGAAATAATAAAGTGTTTTAGCCTTAAAAATCTGCTAGTCTGCCCTGGCCAGTTTGGCTCAGGGGTTAGAGTGTTGGCCTGCAGACCAGAGAGTCCTGGGAATGGTTCCTGCCAGAGGCACATATCAAAAAAGAAAAAAAAATCTGCTAGTCTATAAAAGATTTTTGAAAATTATGCCAATATAAGGCTTTATGATCTATTTGCTTCATTATGTTGATTAAATCACCAGAAGATTTGTTGTAGATAACTTACTATACTATAAACAACTCCCAGGAAAATTTAAACGGGCTCCAAAGGAACATCAGATAAAAATATGAATATAGCTACTGATAAATCTAAGGTGGGGAAAGTATTCTTTAAGTGTTAAATGTTATCACATAGCAATCATAAAATATCATTAAATTTCTCCTATACTTACCAAAGTTAAAAAATAAATGGGCCCTGGCTGGTGTGACTCAGTTGGTTGAGTGTCATGCTGTGCACCAAAAGGTCACTGGTTCAATTTCCGGTCAGGGCACACGCCTACGTTGTGGTTTTGGTCCCTGGTCAGGGTGCATACGGGAAGCAACCTATCAACTTTTCTCTCTCTCATGGATGTTTCTCTCTCTCTCTCTCTCCCTCCCCCCATTTCCTCTCTCTCTCAAAAAAAAAAAAAAAATCAATAAAAACATATTTAAAAAGAAAATAAATGGATACTAAGGTGAAACAAGTATAAGAAAATATTCTAGATGTCAAATGCAGAACTGAAAAAGAATTGTGAAACAGAGCCCATATTATAATTGAAAATATGGTAATATCAAATTATAAAACAGAATCCAGAAAGAATTCAGTATCACAATGAGGGATATTATAATATATGCTTTGAGACTTTAATACTGAAATATAATAGTTCCTGAGTGCTGGCCAGGTAGTAGATCAGCTGTTTAGAGTGTTGTCACAATATGGCGAGGTTGCGGGTTTGATCCCTGGTCAGGGCACATATAAGAATCAACCCATGAATGCATAAATAAGTGATGTTTCTCTCTCTCTTTCAAATAGATTTTTAAAAAGAAGAAGAAATATAATAACTCCTTGTTAAGGAACAAAGACACATCACAACTTGGCCTGATTTTTTTTAAGAGGTGTGAGATATTCTCCTTGGTTTGAGATTTTAAAATGTAAAAACTTCGAATTTTCTCCTCTGCTTCCTATTCATAATTTAAAATATAAGAATAACTTTATTGTAACATTTTCTCCTTTTATGAATACAAGCTCGGCCACAAACAAAATAATATTTATGTAGCACACCTACCTTATACCCAAAATAAGACTCGCTTCTCTCCTACTCATTTTCTGTTCAAATCCTCCTTTATAGTAGGATGAAAAGCTCTGTACAGGAGGAAAAAAAGAGCAAGAAATAATTAGTTCCATGTATAAGGTGGCATGACCTCAGTCCCATCATATAGTTGCAGTAAGAATAACGCATTTTACTAGAAGTCATCTTGAAATTATGAGGGGGAAGCACTAAACAATGATCCTTTACTAATACCAAAATGAACACCTAAAACAATGTTAACAATTTTTTTAACTTTCAAATACAGTCATTTTTCTACACTGAGATATAACTGAACAAATAAGCTACTGGTATAAGCAAAAGGCTTGAACTTTTTCTTAGTCTTGCAGTAATTTTCTCATTGGATAACCTTGACCAAGTCAGTTAATGTGACATCAATGACATTGTTTTAATCTACTAAAATGACTGATAGAGAACAAAGAGGAGGAACTGACAACATGGGGATGATGTCAGGATAACAGATAGGCAGGCCAAGACAGCAGAGAAAACAGGATTGAAAGGTCAATGTGGCTGGAAGGGCATGAGCAAGGAGAGTAGTATTAGACAGGTAATGAGGACCAGATTGTGGAGGGCCTTGTAATAAATAGAAATAATTTAGAATTTTAATTTCAGAAGCCAGAGTACTGGAGTGACATCATTTGACTTTGTTTTGTAAGGGCTACTCCAACAACTGCTATGTAGAGAACAGAAAGGAAGATGCAACAATAGAAGCAGGTGACCAGTTCAGGGGGCATAACAGAAATCTAGGCAAGAGATGATGGTGGCATACACCAACATGGTATCAAAGAAGGAAGTGAAAAATGGTCAGATTCTAGATGTATTTTGAAAACAGAACGTTTCCTTGGTGGACTAAATGTGGGATATGAAAAAAGGAGAGGAACTACAGATGTAGTGAACACTATTATACACTGTGCAGATCCCCTTTCAGAAGTGAAGGACTGACTCCCTGCTGGGGCTGCTGCTGGCAGATTGCACTCAGCTGTCAGTCTTTAGGAATTGCCTTGGTTGAAGAAAGTCAAGTTCATGGCCCCTTCCCAGGGCAATCTCTTACAACTGGTTAACATGAGGGTACAACTAGTATAGTTATCAAGGGCTTAGTCAATTTACATGCAAGAATTTATTCAACAAACATTCTAGCACCTACTAAGTGCCAGGAACTTTTTAGATGAAACAGGCCAAATTCTGTCCTTCATCACATATATGCTAATCTATCAAGGTACTAATACTGTGAGGAATATGATGTACTATTCAAAATTTCAAGTTATTTACAATTTAATAAGAAAACAACCTAAAAAATCCCTTTTTCCAAGCTGTGAGAGGAAAAAAGGAATCAAATGGTTTAAGTACACATACTATCATGGACAAATTTTACATATAGGTACACATATATGCACATAGACAGGAAAATATATGAAGGAATAAGAGATAAATAGGGATATATATATGGACAGGGAATTTAAAAGAGGAAGAATAGCTGGTTTTATTATTATTATTTTTTATTCTTTATTGATTTTAGAGAGAGAGGAAGGGAGAGGGGGGGAGAGATAGAAACATCGATGAGCAAAAACATCGATGGCTGCCTCCTGCATGCCCCCCCCACTGGGGATTGGGCCCACAACCTGGGCATGAGCCCTGACCAGGAATGGAACCAGCGCCCTCTTGGTGCATGGGTCGATGCTCAACCACTGAGTGACACCAGCTGGGCAAGAATAGCTGGTTTTAAAATTTCTTTCAGGAGACTCAAATTTTTCCTAGATGCATACCATACTTTTGATGAGCTCTTTAGGGAGCTCCAAAATTTCAAAGTTTCAGCAGAATAAACATAAATTGAGATGTTGCATGAACTATCATCACAAAGCTTATTAACCTAAAAGAAAGTACTGTACATAAGCAATATTTTTACTTTAGTTTTGCCCTGATGAAAAAGGAAACTGAGAAAAGGCTACTTGAACACTAGCATCTGGATGAGGCACCTATCCTAAAACATAGATTGACTACTTATGAGTAAGTCAATCTGTACACATACAATCATTGCAACCCTTCTAAAAAAACTAGGTCATTTTGAGGATAGAAATTTAGTATTTGGGGGCCTTATACAGAAAAGCAAACAGAGGAAAAAAATTGCTCATGTTACTTAACACATTTCATATAAAATTTAGGTTTTTATATTAGATAATTTTAAATAGAATAAAAATTTCATCAGATTTGAATATATTTTTCTATTTAAATTAGTATCTGTATCATGCACAAAATTGTAACTCTGTACCCCTTGGACTCCCCCCCTTAAAATATAACTAAAAGACCTTTTCCAGCTTACAAATAATATACCAATATTGTATTATATTAGGATATATAGATATAATGCAATGCTGAATCATTTTTGACACTAGTGGGCCAAGGAAATGTTCGATCCATTAAAAACAGGATTATTGTAATAAGGAACAACTATATCATCAAAAAGACAAAGTAGGGGGTTATATTTTTCTAACAGAATTTTCAAGTACAGAAACAATTGGATTCTACTAGTTTTATTATACTGTCTATTTGATATACACTTTTAACTTTATACATTATTTTGTATTTTCTATTCATAAAGTATATAGTATATAAACAGAAATTAAAATAATTTTCCTTCTAAAATTAGCATCAAATATTGTAGTGCCATATACTATCAAAAGATACACATATGAAATGAACCAAGTTACCCAAAAGTCATTAGCTAATTTACTGAGTCAGTCAATAGCCTGGAATACAAAAGTCCCTCCAGACAACCAGAGAAGAACTATATCATTTCATAGTCTTGAGAAGGAATAAATTTACCATAAAGTATAAACTTTTATTATGACAATAATCTACTTGAATTATAGAGCAACAGAAGGATGATTTTAATTAGTGTTATTTCCATGAATTTCACTTAACCATAAACAATAGAAGTTCAATTTAAAAAACTTGTATTCAAGTAAAAGGGCAAATTCATGTATTGGAAAATAAAAGCCTCAAAAGAAGATAAATGACTTGTTTTTCTTCCCCTGCCCCACCCCCAGGAAAAAAATTAGGTGTAATTAGACATTAGCTGAGTCAATAATATACATTAATATTTTAAAAACCAAGCAAAAGGGTATTGGTCCAAAACAGCAGACTGAATAATATAGGTCTTTTGCTTTCCAAAGTGACCTTGAAATGAGAAAAGAGTTATTTTAAACAATAAAAATCCATAATAGGCCTAGAAAACAAGCAATGGGAAAAGTAGCAAACCAGAAAGTTTAAAGAAATCATGGCAGATTGAAAACAGATAAGATTTCATATACAGAAAAGCCATAGCAGTCCCAATCACCAGAGGAAAGAAAGAAACACTTCTCAGAAATCAAGAAAAAACACTAAATTCAGAGTCAACAAATAGAAAAAAATATCAGGGTAATTAAACTAGAATAGCAGAGATAAACCATTCCTAACTCCATTAATACAGATCATAAAGAGCCTGCTACCTACTGCTTTAGCCCTCAATTTAAAATAGAGAATGATATGCCTGTGATGCATCTTATTGTGGTCCCAAAAGAAACAAAGAAGAGTACCAACAGATCACCTTTCAGAACTCAGAAGGCCGGAGAGGGAGACAGTTATACCAAGTACTCTGCTCCTGGGCTCTGGAGGTCCCAAGCCTGCCTCTGGGCTCCTTGCTTTGGAAGACATGACTATTGACATAGCTCACCTATATATTCACAGACCATCATCAATTCTTTTTTAATCCTTTTGAATATTAATCCACATTCAGTTAAATTTTGAAGCAAGCCTACCAAACTGCTAAGGAAGAACACATACTAATCAACTTGGTCCTCATAAACATAAATCCACAACCAAGGGTCATCAGACATTTGAACAAATCCAGTATCATGGGGGAAAAAATAGAATCAAGATGAACAATTAGGCCATGTGTCCAGACCAGACCACACCTTGGTACTGGCAGATGTCCGTAGTTTACACACTGGGCACCTGGACCACATTGGGCTCCTTTACTGTCTTCAGCCGAAAGAAGAGTAAGCCACTAGGTAATGAAGTAGAACAAAAAGATGTCTCAACAAATGAAATCTCTGAGCTAACTAGTAAATTAGAGCAAAAGGATGAAATAACTGAGCTCCCAAAAGGCTTTTATACAGGAAATGACTGTCACATATAAAGGAGATTTTGTCCAAATTACTGACAAGATCCTCAGCTACTGGAAATCGTGGACTGGTGGCCCTGGACCAGAACGATTGGCTGCTAAATTCTAAAACCAGGACTTTGGTTCAGCATATAAATTTGATAGATGCCTTGATTTCCATTTTATGTTTGTGAGAAGTACATGCATTTAATTTTTCTGGAAAACATGATCACTAATAATATGCAATAAATATTTCCTTCAAGAAAAAAAAAAAGAGGAACAATTAACAACTGGCTTTGAAGTAAGGGGATAAATCAGAAAGCAGAAGAGAACTTAAAATGTGAATTAGTATTTTTAGAGATAGTCAAGAAATAATACATCCACAAAAGAATTAAGTTGCTATGAAAATGAAACAAGGAAAATTCTTAGATAGCAAAAAAAAAAATGTTGATGTAAAAAATTTACTGGATGGATTGAATAACAGAATGGCCATTGCCAAAGGCCAACCTGGTGATCTAGAAAATAACCTCTGGAAATACTATGGAATGTAGAATAGAAAGAAAAAGAAGATAGAATATAAGAGATAAAATATTAAGAGACATAAAGGATAGACTCAGAAGTCCAACATCTCTCTGATAAGAGTCCCAGGAGCAGAGAAGAGAGACAATAGAAACACACACACACACAATTAAAGAAAAAAATATAAAAGAATTTTAGAAAACAAAAGATAGACAATTTCACATAATTAAGGCTCACTAGAACTCCTTATAATTTCAGGACATCAGCAATAAAGAGAAAAATCCCTAAATTTGAGCTAAACAAACAAACAAAAATTACCAAAACCTAAAAACCAAAAGCACAAACAACAAAAGAGGCTGCATACAAAGGAATAAGAACACCAGTAAATCTGGCTGAGAGTCCGAGTACCAAAACAATCTGGCTACGAGTACACAGGAAGGCATGCACAAGGGCACTGAGATTCAGTCTGGCTCCACCAGATTCCAAGGAGCCAGAAGCTAAACGATAACAAGGGTGAAAGAAACAAATTGTTTAACAAAGAACTTAAAACATTTATCATCCATGCATCCCATATAAAAAATACATGCATCCCATATGACAAATTACTCTAGGCAGTATTCCAGCAAAATGAAAAAAGAAAAAAAAAAATGTGTAAGAAAAAAAAAAAGATGAGATTTAAGAACAAGAAGATATTAAAGTATAGAGGAAGCAAATAACGTTTTAAGAAAAAATTTATAAAGATAGTATAAGATGTTTCAGTGCAAGCTGCAAGTACTTGGTGAAAACAAGGCAAAATTTATTAAAAGCCATGTTTCTTAATGTGAAGCCCACAAAGAAAGGAAAAGGGAGCATGCATCATTTCTCTCTCCTTAAGAAGTGCAGGTGCTGAGTTCAGTACATCCAGGACAATCTCTTGAACTACTCTACTTTATCTGTGAGCATCCACAGAGCAGTGAAAATTTTCTCATTTTCTTGCTCTCTCATCCTTTACAATGTTAAATACTGCAGTCCTACAAAACTGGGGAGCCTTCTATGTATGGTATAAATATATCCACTGAAGCTCACCATAACAGGAGATAAATGACTTCTAAAATTTTCTCCATTCATTATATATAAATATATGGAAATACATAAATAACATTCATTTAAAGAAATACTTCACTATTTCCATTTCTATTACTCTATCGCAAGCCACTGTCTCTTATTCCCTGGATTGTCTCAAAGTCTTGTAAACGATATCACAGCTTCTACTCTGGTTCATTCTAGCCTAAATGCAGCAGATTGAGTAACAGTCTAAAACAAAAAAATTTCCTGGCCAATGTGGCTCAGTGGTTGAGCGTCAACCCATGTACCAAGAGGTCACCAGTTTGATTCCTGGTCAGGGCACATGCCCAGGTTGTGGGCCCAATCCCTAGTGGGGGGCATGCAGGAGGCGGCCATCGATATTCTTTCTCATCAGTGTTTCTATCTCTCTCTCCCTCTCCCATCCTCTCTCTCTAAAATCAATAAAGAAAAAAAAAAATCACATTGCCCCCAAGCTCAAAATTTTCCATAGGCTTTCCATTATACTTAAAGGTAAATTTGCAGTTTTTATCATAGTCTATTAGGCCCTAAATGATGTGGGCCCAAACTACCACTATTCCTTTCACATACTCCAACGAAGTTACTCTTACTGGTATATTTATTTCCACCTCAGGACCTCTGTAGTGTTCCTATTGCCCAGAAAACTCTTTCTTAAGATGTTAACAGGGCCTGTTTCCTCATCTTCTCAGAAAGGCCTTCCCTTTCCTACTAATATAGATTCCTCTCTGCTGTTTCTTTAACCTCTTACCCTCATTTAGTTTTCTTAAAAGCATTCAGTACTTCTAGGTATTATATAATGTATTCATTTGTTAATTATCTCTACTAAAAATGTAAGCTCCTAGGTGGCAGTGTCTTTGTCTGGTTCATTACTATATCTTACTCCACACAATAATGCCTAGTTTATAGTAGGTGCTTAATGAATATTTATTGAATAAACACTAAATACCTATTAATAGTTTAGTCAAGTAAAATATAAACAGGAAAACAGAAAATGAATACATGCTTCCTCTAATCAGAGATATGCATTTGTAGATCTGCAAAATCTCTTGCAGTTCTTTTGAACCTGAGTTTAATTATTTGTCAGTATGCTATCCTTTGAAGGTTGTGGTTTATGACTAAGTCGTACAAACTTGTAATGCTTTTGCTATAACAAGACATTTTTTTCTCAAATTGCTGCAAACCAAGCTGATCTATCCCAGATCTGCTTCTGTTTCCCAGAAGTCAATGGTTACATGGCAGTGCTTCAGTGAATTCTCTTTGCATTGTCTCCACTGATCGCAAATCATAGTTTACCACACTATAGCCTTTAGATACCTATTACCATTTATTCTTCACTTATCTTCAGCTCAGCAGAGCAGCTATAATGCTGATAGATAGATGTAAAAACCCCACAGGATTTCAAGGGTGGAATCTTATAATTTTATGTGTGAGATGGCCTGCTGTGGTGGTACAAGGGAACTAGTTTCAGCTCCAGGATGAATAAACACTTGGGTAAGCATCGCCAGAGCAGAGGCCATGTATGTTTTGTTCACCAGCCATACCCAGCTCCTGACACAGGGACTAGTTTATGGTAAACAATCACTAAGTGAATAAATGAATATTAATTAAACAAGAAAAATAAATTACCTGAAAGTTGACATAATAATACTAAAGGAGTAAGTAATAGTAAGAAATAATTAGATGTCAAAACCAGAAAAAAAGTTTAGATATAAAAATAACGTGACCAAGAAGCTTAAAAGAATCTAAATCAATAAATGATACAAACTCACTGATGATACAACAAAAGAAGTTAGACAATTCAAGACATTTTCTGAATTACGATCAAATACAATACTTAAACAAAAGTCAAAATGAGCTTCCTAATGAAAGCCATCGTCAACTTACAGGAGTAGAAATCTTCTTTGCAGTTTCTGTGATTACTTGTTCTAGAGGTTTCCAGATTTGAAATATATAGCGACCTAATAGTAATAAGAATAGAAGCAAATATATTTTCTATAATCAAAGTCAATACTCACAAAGTGCTTACCACAGTATTTATTGATAATTTATTTTATATATGTCATTTCGATAACGATTTTAAAATTTACCAGAAAGTCCAATTTTTTCAAATTCCTAATTTACTGACTATCATTATCATGACTATTAGATTGTTTTGAGGGCATAGAAACAAGAATAAAATATTATCTGACTAGTTTACCTTTTGTACCCAAATCAGAATGTGCGACTACTGATACTAGTGTCTCTTTTCCCAAAAGTCTTGGTAGATAGCCAGTTCTGACACCATGGACTTCAATTTCTAACCATAACCTTACTTGCAAATCAAGATTTCCACTGGAAAAGATCAACTACATAGATCTTTTAGAAGGAGTCACCTGTCTACATATACTTTTATTCCTGTGCAAACATGTTATAGTGAAAAACAGGCTGCTAGACATGACATGGGAAGATGTGAAGTATCTAATACAATTAGGACATAAAAAGTCTTGAAATCAAGAAGGACAAAGTAATATTAAATGAGGCTGAAACCCTAACTCATCCAAATCTCTTATATAGATGTCAACTTCTATTTGATTCTATAATAATATAAAATATAGCTTTAAATTGCCTCAAAATTCCTTCAAACCCACACACAATCAAGCAGACTCGATGAAAAAAATCCGTTAAAGGCATCAGGAAGTGACGCCTGGGTTTACTTGAACCATATGCCAGAACACCTAGTTCCAAAGTCTAAATGCACTTTCTCCTAAATTCCATTAGTCAGTTGTTTTTGGCTCTGGGATAAATCTGACTGTTATTTAATATTCTAGTTAGTAATATGAATTTGGCAACAGTGTGGTATATACAGAATGCAAACACCAATTCTTCTCATTTTAGAAAGGCCCTGGCAACAGTACACCTTTCTCTCATTTCAAATAAAAATCTTATTTTGAATTTGAAATAACTATGCCTATTTTCCTATAAAAATTAATACTAAAATGGTTTTATGGTTATGGGGCAAGTTCATTTTTTATTGGATCTTACTAAACTCCATATAACCACAATGAAAAGTAGCTTCACCTAAACAGAAGAACCATTTAACAAGATCAAATCCATGGAAACTAGAGATATAAATGCTAAAACAAAAATGTATAAATCTTTATCAAGAAGGAAATGCTCTCGGATTAACATTAATTAGGGAATAGCTATGCAACTTAAAACTATAAATTGATGACTCTAAACTACAAGTGAACAGATAGCAATTTCCTTTAAATCTTTATAACTCTTCTTTAAAAAAAACACGTGATTTTGGCAGTTATCAAAGACATTATGCATATATGTTAAAAATGAAGTTATGTGCCCTGGCCAGTTTAGCTCAGCGGTTAGAGCGTCAACCCACAGACCAAAGAGTCACCGGTTCCATTCCAGTCAAGGGCACGGACCTCAGTTGTGGTTCGGTCCCTGGCCCTGGTCAGGGTCATATGGGAGGCAGCCAATTGATGTGTCTCTCTCATGTCAATGTTTCTCTCTCTCTCTCTTTCTCCCTCCCTCCCTCCCACTCTGTATGAAGATAAGTGAAATATCCTTGGGTGAGGATTAAAAAACAAAAAATGAAGTAATAAGTACACTACGGGGAACAACTAGCTCACCAGAAAGAATGACAGCTCAGGAAAGGTGTCATCCTCACTGCAAGAAGAAATAAATATGGGAGAATAAAGAAACCCCTTATCAATTATACTGCTCCATATTAAAGATGTTTTATTATGGTACTCTACAGCTCATAATAAAAAATTGCCAGGAAAATCCATTATTATTGGGGCTAGTTTTCCTAGCTTTTGTATTGTTACTTTTCTGCACCGCAAAGTTTATCCAGATTTTGCTACACTGACAAATATTCAGTGACTGCAAATGGTGGAGAGAATGGGAATATATAATGTCTTAAAACCAAAAATCTCAGAATACTAAGAGCCTGCTCATGAATCACTATAGGAGCGATTTGGAAAGATTTCTTTTATAACATTTATTGACATGTATTCTTTGTTTGTCTTACCCGCAAATGCAAAAGCTGCAACACCCAGTCCCACAGCTATCAAGCTTCTTGCCTATGGAGGGAAAAATGATAATCACTCATAGTGTTACACACTGGGTATTAAAAGTAAATCATTTTTAATAATGTGAATAATTATGTTAAATACTACATTTTCTTCAAGCTCTGCTGTAAATAGAACTTTTAAAAATCTGCAATGTCTATGGGATTATATCTGCTGTGCACTATATCAGTTAATTTTCAGTGAACTAAAATAATTCTAGATTTTCATTTAATTTCCATATATTTGATTCATTCTAACCTACAACTTTTATATTACCTATTGCTAAATGTTTTCTATAGACAATTCTTAACAGTGGGTTTAATATATTTATTTCCTATAAAGATAAAAGACACATTTTTCTTCCTCCATTGCACTTTCGATATTCAACAGCATTTGCTATATGTAGAAATTTAGTCAAACATTGCATACATGTTTAGTAAATACGTCAAACTTCCAAAAACCATTAAAAATTATAAATAACTTAAAAGTTGTCTATTTCCACCTTTCTAGAATAATATAAAAATTTTAAAACAAGAGCCAAGAATTCAGAATCTATAGTTATGAGCCCATTCTGATAAAACTCTATTTTAAATTGGTATATACTCCATATTATTATATGCTCTTCAGTCTCTGCCCTCCATCTTACAACTTCTGCAGCAATGTGTAATGAATCCATTCTGTTCCCTAGAGAGATTATTCTAGCTTAAAAAAAAAAATTCTGCCCTGGCCAGGTAGCTCAGTTGGTTAGAGAGTCGTCCAGATATGCCAAGGTTGTGGGTCCAATCTGTAGTCAGGGCACATACAAAGAGCAACCAATGAATTCATAAGTAAGTGGAACAACAAATCTATGTTTCTCTCTCTTTCTCACACCACATGAATCACTTTAGGAAAATATGTATGTCACAACAGAAAAAGGTTTACGTGCCCTGGCCGGTTTGGCTCAGCGGTTAGAGCATCGTCCTGCGGTCCTGAGAGACCCGGGTTCGGTTCCCGCTAAGGGCGCGTACCTCGGTTGCAGTTTGTCCCCGGCCCTGGTCGGTCGTGCGGGTGGCAGCCACTCGATGTGTCCCTTTCACATCGATGTTTCTCTCTCTCTCTCTGTTCCTCTCTCTTCCTTCCACTCTACCTAAAAAAAAAAAAAGAAAAAGAAAAAGGTTTACGTAGCAGGGATCAATGGTTACCCACCCCCAATATCAATTCTCCCCTTCTTCTATGGGATCAAGAATTCAATTTTTTGCTTGGCCAGTGGGACTCAGTGGACTGAGTGTCGTCCATGGACTGAGAAGTCCCAGTTTGATTCCTGGTCAGGCCACATGCCTGGGTTGTGGGCTCGATCCTTAGTAGGGGACATGCAGGAGGCAACCGATCGATGTTTCTCTCTCACATCGATGTTTCTCTCTCTCTCTTAAAAAAAAAAAAAAAAACACAATAAAAAAGATATTAACAAAAAAAAAGAAATTCCATTTTTAGCCAGACATATATTTCCAAGTCTCCTTTAGTATGGATACACAATTAAGGAAAATTAAGGAGAGACATCATAGAAATGTTTTTGTCTGATTAGTGGTGTGAAAGGTAAATCCACAAAAGTCAGCAAAAAGTTTTTTTAAAGTCTAGAATCATCTCATTAAGGAACAGAATGGATTCTTTTCACACTGCTGTATTAGTTCTAAAATGAAGGGCTGAGACTGAATGAATTGCTAAAACCAAAAAATCCCTTCAGCCATCAGTGTTCAAATTCCGCAAAGGAATGAATACAAGTCTAAGCCCCGAAGATTCTGTAATGAAAAACACCAGGTCACAAAGGACATGTAAGACGGTGCTCTAACTTAATATCTAGTAAGGAGGTGAGTATTGATATAAAGAAGATGTTCTTTTGAGGTATATTTTTGCCATTTTCTAGAGCTTCGCTGGTGCTATATATTTTGAGTTCTCCAGTCTTATCTTCCATTGGTTCATGTTAAGGACTCTCAGTCTAACCAAACAACTCAACTGTTTCATGTGTGAATTTACTTTCCTTTCTTACAAACTTATTTTTTTTATCTGACTAGAAATATTTATCTTTGCCTCCCAGATATAACCTATTTTTAATATTTCAGCTTGAATCTGCCACAGAAGAGGAGAAGTCATTGCAATACATAACAATGAGTATATATCAAAAAATATATATAGAATTCCTCAACATTAATAATAAGAGGACAGACAACACAATTTTTTTTAAAAAGGGCAAAGACTACGTCATGGACTTCATAGAAAAAATCTAAATGGTTAATAAACATATGAAAAGGTACTCAACTTCAAAAGTAACTAAGGACTACTAACAACAACAACAACAAAATGGTGTAGAAACATTCATATTAGATCATAAAGATCTCTGGCCTTCATGGAACTTGTTCTGTACACAGATGAATCTCAAGTACCCAGCAGCGCTATCTACACTTCCTAGGATTATTGTGAGGATAAAATGTAATAATGTGTGTAAAGGACTTAGCATAGTGACTTAGCATATGGTGAAAATAACTAGCTATTATTGAATATAAGTGATGTAACAAAAGTATGAATAATGTTTTATAACATTTAAATTTGTCTAAGAAATTCATAGAAGTGGATTTTGAGATAGGCACTCGAAAATGAATTGGTCTTTTCTAGATTAAATAATCCAAATTTCCACATTATGAAAAATGTATATTTCAAAAACATAGTCTTAAAAAGTTGAGTTATCCTAATTTCACATTTTATAGTTTAATAATTGTATCATTTTTACTATTTCAACTATTCAAAATATATGAGACAAATAGTTGCCTCTACAATTCCAAAGGGATTTTTATTTTAAGGTATTGCTATAAGAAACTAACTATGAGGCATTTGCTCATTTTTCATTTTAATCTAACAATATACAATGCTAAATTGTGTTTAACAATAAAAATTCAATTTAAATCAACAAATAAGTATTGAATACTCTGCTGATTATTCTCCATTTGTCCCTACAAATACATTCTCTACCCTTCTTTGCCTTGTTCTGCATCTCTGCTTCCCCTTATCTCTAAGAATTTCAGTATCCAGTCCTTGCTTGTCCTCTAGTTTCTGGTTGGGTTTTGCCAGTCAGAGGAAATGTGTAACAGAATACCATACTCAGGTTACAATCCCACTGAACTCCAGACACTTCTGCCCATTACATCTTTGTGTCAAAGTTACCAAGGAAAACACAACACAACAGAACAATGCTCTACTTACATGGAGAAGAAACAGAGCAAGATCCCTTATAGCTAGTCATTGTCATGTCCAGCCCCACGTCCCCATCAAAAAGGAAACAGGCCCAGGAGCATGCTCCAGAAAGACCCCCATCCCCACCCCCATTCTGAAATAATAAAAGCTGGGGGCATGCCTGAGGGCACTGACTATGCCTTAAGCAGAACACAGACAGCTCAGAGAGCCTGAAACAGGGAATGACAGTCCCACAAAGGTGATGAGCTCAGCACAGCTGGTGTGGCTCCTCATCTTTTAGTAAGGAAGTGCTGGAAGCCTCAGTGGGCAGAGCAGGGTCAAAAGCCGTGACACTGCCTTTCCCAACAGGAAGCATCAGCAGAAAAGCAAAGAGTGGAAGGAGATAGAAATAATTGTACAATTTATTCCCAGCTATGTTTCCTCTTTGGCCACAGATCCTGTTTAGTGGCTCTTCTTCCATGCCTACAACTCTTGAGATCTGGAATATAATTAACCATCCCTTTCCTTGCCCCTTTGCCTGCGTGAATAACAGTTTCCAACTACAAATCCCTGACAGATTCATCATCCCTTTTTCATTACCTACCATGCCCACACCTCTGCAAATAGTCCCTTCATTCAATTATCTTCAAAAAAAGCCATCCATCTATTACTACCAGGACCCTCACTGACACAAACATCACACTATATACTAGTCACTATACCATGTACAAGAGATGTAGTGGCATGGAACAAGGCAAAGGCTTACATCAAATGAGTCCTGTTGTAGATCACAGTGGGCCTCCAATGTTTATGCTAATCTCCCAAAGACCTTTACTTTTACCCTTATTATAGTATTTATTGCACTAAATTATAATTTAGTGCTCTTTCTCCTTTACCTTTTCCAGCTATCAAGAGCCTATTAAAAATAAGATGAGCCCGGGCCAGTTCGCTCAGTGGTTAGAGTGTTGCCCTGCAGACCAAAGAGTCATGAGTTTGAGTCCTATCAAGGGCACATACCTTGGCTGTGGTTGGGCCTCTGGCACAGATCAGAGTTGTGCAGGAGGCAACCAATTGATGTGTCTCTCTCACACTGATGTTTCTCTCTCTCCCCCTTCCCCCTCTGTCTGAATATAAATGAAAAAATATTCTTGGGTGAGGATTATAAAAAGAAAAAATGATGAAATCTACAGACCACCACAGAAAACCACAAATATATATACACTCTGAAGCCCTTCAGGCCACAAGCCCCAACATAAAAACCCCTGAAATAGATAAGCAAATAAATAAATAAGCAAGCAAGCTTACTGAAGTCTAGGAGGGTATCTCATTCACCTTTGAGATCCTAGAGCAAGACCTGTCATATATATTAATTTTCACTCATTCGACAATACAACAAGAAAAATAATGTTGATTCCAGAACAAATCTCTATTTCTAAAGACCAACTTTATAGAAAGAGAAATACAGTAAGCCTTGCCACCTTTAAAAACAACAAAAAGAAACTCAAATAAGATAGATCACTGGAGCAAAAAAAGATGTTCAATAAATGACTAAAAACTATGCAGTCAAAATCTTACCCACATTGAGAAGACAAAGCATGGCACAGCTAATGAAACACTCATACCTCATCTACCTCTTTAATTGTATTTTTAATTAATGATATTAAGACAGTTTATTTTTTAGCATAAACAACTGATAACAAACAAACATATTATTTGGAAGCTTAACCCAACTTAAAATAAAAAATAATATATATCATGTGTTCAATATAACCAGATTTTGTACTTTGAAATAAGAATAAAGGCCCTCAGAA